AGCAGCGTATAGCGCTTGGGTATAGTGGGGCTACAATCATTCACTCTTTCTCGAGCTTTTGCTATTGGATCTCTGAATTTATGATTTTTTTAGCTACTTTTTTTTCCAAATCTCCAAAGCGTAGCATACACTTGACTTATTGAAAAGTTTCGAATTCTAACGCGAATTTTGACAACAGAATCAGTTTGCAAAACAATTTCTTCTTGTTTAGCAAAACAACTATCTCGCGCACGAAGGCACGAAATCTTCAAAAATTAGCAAAAGATAAGAAAAATAGACAAATTGTTCTGTCTCACCCTTGCAATTTTCTAGGTATTTTGTAAGTGAAGGCTTAGCAACCATCTTTACGGACAGGCAAATTTGAAACTATCGGTGAGATGCAGTATTTCATCTGAGCTCACTATGAACTTTCCTCTAGATACGCGTTCATATTTTCGCTACAAAAGCTCTCATAGCCTAGTACAGAAGCGCTCCGCAGATAAGGAAGAAGGATTTGGAATCAGCGCATGATGTCCTTTGAGAAGGTATGCGTCTCCTCCAAAAAGGCCACTTCTATTAAGGATCCTTCCCCCTGAGCACCGCCATAGCATTTGTTAGTAAGGACATTTGTCTCTTATAGGCAGTGTTGCGGTAGGTTGAGTTTTCGGAAAAATGGCCAAATTTGGATAGTAGACTTATCTGCTGGCCCGGCCAATCCCCATCAGATTCTGTCCATCGTTCGCAGACAAAACGCTTTCTGAATCTGCGCGCGAGCTTCATTTGGCGCGCGTTGCACGACTTCATTGACTCAATCTGCACGGGACCCACACTGCAGCTCGGGCAATCCTGTGCTTTCCAATGCATGAATTATCGGCGCCAAGGTTTTCGTGCGGAACCTCCTGCACTGAAAGCTAAACTCTCGTCCGAGCCTTCTTTTCGAGGGTGTGAAAACGCTTTCACCCGCTCGGAATCCCGTATTCGGGTAGAGCGGGCTGGAAAGGCTCTGATAACGTGAAAAAATGG